GGGTGAGTGTGGGTGTGTCAAAAAGAGAAAAAAAGAGAGAAACTTATGGTGTTCTCTCTACATTTTAAGCCTAGTCTAAGGGCTTCTTTCAGACTAAGTGTTAAGTCTTAAGTAACCCTAGTGCTGTGGTCCTCCTCATCCCTGTCATGGCACCCTAAACTTGATGGGTGTGAAAATGAGGTACATTTCTGGCCCAGTGCTCAGAGACATGGCAGGTATCTGCTTCCTCCGGGCTTCACATGATCCTGGGCATAAGAAGACATCCTGTCACCTTCTCAACCTTGAATTTCTATTTGTTCAAGGTTGACTGGAATGCCCTTTAGAGCCATGCCCCATACAGCCACTGCAGAAGCCATTCACATTGAAAAAGAACATGAGACCACAGTACAAATGCTCATGGCCCCACCCCAACCCCCATCCCAACCATTCATAGACCAAGGCTGGTTTCAGAGAACCATTTACACAAGTTCTACTATAAATGCACTCCCATGCTGCTTACCACAAAGAACAGAGTTATTCAAAATGTGGTTTGTTGAACTTAGGAAAAGATGACACTATAATTTTGTTGCACTGATTTAAAAATTTGCCTTGGGAATGGTCTTGATTTAAAACAAATGCAAAATTACATGCAAAAATAAGACTTAAAGAGGACCGAAATACTATTTTTGCTTATCTTTTGAAAATAGTGTTTAATGGTGCAGAAGACTATAGAGTCAATTGAAACAAACAAAAAGGATGCACTTTTGAAGGCCAATGTCAGAAGAGATGGGCCTGGCCACAGGGAGTGCCACGGAGAAAATAAATTAGTTATCCCTCCCTATCAAACAATCTTACTTTCCACTTTTTCCGGGCTGCGAACTTCTTGAACTTCTCCATGTTGACTGCCGACGCCTTTCTACTAAGTGCTTGTTGGGTATCTTTAGGCTAAAATCAAAGTCCAAGAAAGCAAATTTAGAACACTCCAAGATGGAAATGGGTTACATGACAACTTTTGGAAACCTGTAGTTAGTTAGGATGCTTACACACTCACCTTAGTAAAATAACAGAACAAGTTGGGATAACGTGCAAAAGCTAGGAACCTAGTCTCCGGAGGGCAACTCTTAGGGCTAAGGGTTTGATAAAATCCATAAAGACTGGGTCTTGGGAAAAGCTGAAGAGTTGGGCTCAGAACAGGCTAAATTTCAACTTTCTGGACTGAGAGTTTGGGAATGGCAAGATTCGTGGTGAGGTTATGTTATAAGGCATTTGAACTTAATATATCATCAAGTAATAATTTAGAGCTGGTAGGAACTCAGAGGTTAGCAAGTTTGGCCTGGCTGATAGCATTAGGATCCGTTGTACTGCATCTTTTTTGGGAGGCCATTAGTTCTACTGATGAGAGGAGACACCATTGCCTCCTCAGGGAACCCATGCAACTGCTAGGAGTTCATGCAGCAAAGCTCTCTCGATGCCCCAACCCTACTTCTGCGATGCAAGTTGTTGCACCATAATCCCCTCACCGGTTCCATGATTTTATTCTGTAATTGCCACATTCCCTCACCGTTGGTCCTTTCTGTTCTAGCCGGAGCACTTCAGTTCTTTAACCCAAATGGCAATGGGTGTTGCAGGTAATGTAAAGGTATATGTTGTGCCAGGGGGCGGCCGCTGGCCCTGGCCCAAAGGCAGCTGTGCAGGGTTTGGGTGGCCTTATGGAATGAGGGCTCAGTACTGGTAGACATTCAGATTTTTCAACAGATGCTGGAAATCCAGATTTGATACGGTATTTAAATGTTGGCAATTAATTCCAAAAAATTAAAATATTCTCTGGGCCAACATCCCACAGGTGAAACCAAACATGGCTGTTGAGTAGACCTGACCCATTTACAACTGACCTTCAACTCCCCGTTTACAATCCTGCATTGTGATAGCTTATTCTCCTCCATCTCCGTGATCATTAGGACACTCTCATCTGTGCACCATCTTAAAATAGGGCACCAATGTCAAAACCAATACTTCAGATGTGACCTGTGGTGAGACCCCCACAGTAACTAGGCCTAAGGCAAATGCATTCCAGGATGTCCTATAACACCAAACCAATCACAATATGCAACTTACCTTGATCCAGGGATGCTGCAAACTATCTTGAATTGTCATTCGCTTCCTTTGTAGGGGGAAGGGGAAAGAAAAAAAATGCTGTGACCATAGAAGCAAACACTGAGGTTGTTTCCATGCCAGTTGGGCCTACCAAGCAGATGCTCTGGAAAATGCAGTTTAGGGCCTGCTTCGTGGAAGAAAGCTGGAAAGAAGTCAGTCTTTCTGTGACTATCTTACTGTGTCTGCAGGGACAGACTGAGCAGGTGCAAAGGCCCCGCCTGCATTTTCTGAAGCGTTCCACATGGCATGCTTTCCTTTGCCACGTGGAACCCACCAGGCTCTCATAAACGTGGTCCGCATGCACAATACAAGTGCTAGCCCTGGTCCTGCTGAAGCCATGGCCAAGTACCCCTCAGGAATAATGGACACTCACTTTGGATCCTTGACGAGGAGTCTTCTTATGAAATCTTTGGCTAGGGCACTGGTATTACTGAAGTATTCTTCCTCAAATTCGTAGTTGACGGCAGATACATTTGCTAACGTTTCTTGCTTAGTGTCTCCAAGAAATGGGGAGGCCCCACTGAGGCTGTTAATAAAGTGGGGTGCAGAACATGAATGATTACCTCTTGGGCTATCATGTCATTCCTAGCATATCTAATAAGGGGAGTGAGGAATAATATGATAATCTGTCCTTGGGCAGTCACTTCAGAATCCGATTACATTTTACAGGGCATTTAGTTGTCACGCACAACAGCTTCAGCTTAATGCATAGGATGCATTTAAAAAGTTAACCTGGAATAGCATCTCTTAGTTAAAAAAAAATAAAAAAGCTTCCGACTTTGGCTCAGGTCATGATCTCACGGTTTGTGGGTTCAAGCCCCGCACTGGGCTCTGTGCTGACAGCTCAGAGCCTAGAGCATGCTTCAGATTCTGTGTCTCCCTCTCTCTCTGGCCTCCTCTACTCATGTTCTGTCTCTCTGTCTCTCAAAAATGAATAAATGTTAAAAAAAATTTTAAAAAACACCGCTTTCCTATTTTCTCAGCAGTGATGGACAGCCATGCTTCCTTCAGTGATTAGGCTGTAGTTTCTGATGACTCATTGCGAATTAGGAGAAAATGTTTAATTAGTATAAACTACACGTGTTCTGGGGGTGTGAAATGAATATGTTTACATAAAAAGCATGCATAAACTGAAGAGATCAACATGACATATAGATGGTTAATAAGACATATGGTCTCAAAGAAAGAGGAAAAGAATACAAGGCGTGGATTTTGGTACTTACAGAATATAGGTTATCACCCCAATACTCCTAGACACAAAACGAAAACAGAAACAAATGTCAGAAGAATAGTACACTAAAGCGGAAAGATGAAAGCATCAAGGACATGCTCCTTACCACATATCTGCCTCAAGACCAAGAGGTTCATAGTTGACTATCTCAGGAGCTAAGAGGAAATAAACGCATTTTAGTTTTCAGAGAAAGTGAATCAACAGATTCTATCTTCACGTACAAACCAGAAATATGTACCAGGGAAATAAATGATGTTACAGCAGGGGAGTTTCTGCCAGTATAATTCATATTATTGATGAGAAATAAATGAGCACAGGAGTAAAAAAAAAACTTACCAACAAACTCTGGTGTCCCAAATATGTTTTTGAATTCATTTCCAAAATCAATTTTATGGGCCAACCCAAAGTCAATGATCTTGATCCGAGGTTTAGGGACATTTCTATCCAAAAGCATTATGTTTTCAGGCTTCAAAAAGAGAGAGAGAGAGAGAGAGAGAGAGAGAAATAGTACACTAGTGTTCAAAACAGCATATTCACAAAACCAAAAGGTGGAAACAACCCAATGTCCATCAACTCTTCAAACATGCTACAACATGGATAAACCTTGGAAACATTATGCTAAGTGAAACAAGTCAGACGAAAAAGGACACATATTGTATGATTCCACTTATCAGAAGTATCTAGAATAGGCAAATTCAGAGACACAGAAAGCCGAAGGGTGGTTGTCAGCAGCTGTGAGAGGAGGTATGGGGAGCTCGGGATTAAGGGATACAGGGTTTCAGTTTGGGAGGATCCACTAGTTCCAGAGATGGTCGGGGTGATGGTTTGCACCACAGTGTGAATATACTTAACGCCTCTGAACTGTACACTTAGAAATGGTTAAATAGGTAATTTTCATGCTATGCTTATTTCACCACAATAAAAACAAAGAGCTATGATATATTATGCTGAAGACAAAGTGGTAGGATTGTCCCCTGCCCCCCACCCCACCCCGGAAAAACCACCAAAGCCTAGGGGTAAGAGGGTAGTTGTAAGAGAACACCAGGAAAAATAAATGTTGTGGTTTAGGTTCTCCCAGGAGCAGATTTGTTGACAGCGATTTGGGTGCAAGTGGCTTATGTGGGAGCAGGCTCCAGGGAATACTTGGTAGAGGTTGGGGAGACAAGAAACAGAAGGAAGGAAACCCACACAAGGTGTCTTGTCAAGGTGAAGGTGACTGGAGTACAATCCCTTTGGGGAACTTAAGGAGGAGCAGCACTGAGTTTTCCAGCTGGAGCATGAGGGAGCCGGGGTACTTATCCACCGACTCCCCGTCCTCCATTGCTAACAGCGGCCTCTGTGGGGCTTTACTCTGGCATTTCCAGCTCCCAGGGCCAGAAACCAGACATCAGGCAGGGACCCACAGGTGTGTGCAGCAGCGGTATTCAGGGCATGCGTTAGCGAGTGTTGGGGGGATCTGGATGGGGTGCTGACAGCATTGCTACAAGAAATATGGAGGAAGTCCTCCCTCCTCTGAAGACTTGTCCTAGCTCCAACGATCTGAATCATTCACTTGTCAGTCGACTGCATGCTTCTTTGTGACTACCTTCTCAATGCCTCAGATTGTACCTCGATTCTTCCATTGTCACTGTATGTTGCTCCTGTGCATGCCTTTCCTTCCTAGAGAGACCATAGCTTTTCTGACAGTTAGAACTAGGACGTGCCTTTATATCCCCCACAGTGCTATGCCTCTAGACAGGCAAAGACCCCAATTAGCCAATCTCCACGTTTGTCTTGATTGATTGCCGGTGACAAAATCAGGCCTTCGCATCAAGAGGGAGAGGAGAGATCAAGACATCTTCCACCTTACGTGCCCTGCAGCCAAAGGGGATGCAAACTGGACAGCCAGTGGCCACTCTAAGCTGAAAACATTCCATAACCAATAGCAGCTTAGAGATCTGGCTGGTAAACCCCTTTGATTCTTCCCTAGGGATTCTTGAATGTAATCATTCGTCCTAAGCCTCTATCCCACAAAAGGTTAGGAATCCTTGAGTAGGCATTCATTATATACCTGGTAATTTATCTTCATAATTCCATCTGTTAAGCTCATACAGGATAGGGGCACCTGGGTGGCTCAGTTACACATCTGAATCTTGATTTCGGCTCAGGTCATGATCTCATGGTTCATGGGTTCAAGCCCTACACCGGGCTCCACGTTGATAGTATGGAGCCTGCTTAGGATTCTCTACCTCTCTCTCTGCCCCTCCCTCCCTTTCTCTCTCTCTCAAAACAAATAAATAAACCTAAAAAAACAAACAAACCCATACAGGATTAAAAAAATGTATCTCTTTCAGATGCTTCAATTTTTCATAGCCAACCACCAATGCTGGGATTTGCATAACCTTCTCTCCGGCTTACACTCAGCAACGTACCTTAAGATCAAAATGGGCAATCTGAAGGGAGTGTAGGTAGTAAACACCATTAAGAATTTGTTTCAGAAACTCAGTTGCTTCCTCTTCAGTCAAAGATTCTTTTTCAGCCAAGAAGTCGAACAGCTCACCACCTGCCACTCTGAAAACCAGGAAGCAGAGGTTACTGAGGATGCTTGTTTCATACAGATTTGTTCTCTTGTAGACTATTGGTGTGCTCAAATTTCAGGCAAAAGAATGGCCTAAGGACAAGCCGAAACTGCCAAGCAAGGAATTAGAATTCATGCTTCTCACCACTGGGCTGACAATTCTGCCCATTTGTACTTGAAAGCACCTGGATACCATTCTCCTGATGTGCTATGTTCACACATGAAGGCAGGGAGCAGAGACATGATGGGGGGGGAAATGTATATTTAAAACATCTTCGTTACACATTCTTACAGGTGAAGTCTTAATTCACTGATTAAAAAAAAAAAACAAATTATAAGCCAACTTTGGGCAGCATTTATAGAATAGATCTTCCTAGCACAATCAGAAAGTACCTGGAAAGTTCATAATCCGTATGCTAATCAATTGTTTTAAACCCCAAATCACAATATATGGCCTACAAGGATTTTTTGTTGTTGTTTTATATCCATTTATATATAAATACTTACATATTTATTAAAAAATCACATTTCATAATGAATTTAACAAATACCTTCACTAATAAGAATACATGTACACTGGGGCACCTGGGCTTCAGTTAGGCGTCTGACTTCGGCTCAGGTCATGATCTCACGGTCCATAAGTTCGAGCCCCGCGATGGGCTCTGTGCTGACAGCTCAGAGCCTGGAGCCTGCTTCGGATTCTGTGCCTCGCCCTCTCTCTGCCCCTCCCCCACTCTCTGCCCCTCCCCCACTTGCACTTTGTCTCTCAAAATGAATAAATGTTAAAAAAAAAAAAATAGGGGCGCCTGGGTGGCTCAGTCGGTTAAGCGTCCGACTTCGGCTCAGGTCATGATCTTGCGGTTCGTGGATTAGAGCCCGGCGTCGGGCTCTGTGCTGACAGCTCGGAGCCTGGAACCTGCTTCAGATTCTGTGTCTCCCTCTGTCTCTGCCCCTCCCCCACTTGCATTCTGTCTGTCTCTGTCTCAAAAATAAATAAACATTAAAAAAAATTAAAAAAAAAAAGAATACATGTACACAAAATTGAAATGCATGAGGTTGTTTGGGGATTTATCAATCAGTCTCCCTGGCCAGACTGTAAATCTCTAAAGGACAGAGGTCGGCCCCCGGCCATCCACCATGTTCTCCCACAGTCCCAGCCACAGAGCAAGAGCTCAAAACTTTGTTATCCAGTGGATAAATGAACAAACTCCCCAAAGAAATCTACAGCAGTAATTAATGGCAAATAACAGGGAACTTTTAATAAGAGTTTTTATAAGTTCATCTTTTCTCAAGTTTAACCATACATTCACAACATAATAATTAACTGTAATTACGCACATAACTGCTGTGTTCATTATCTTTCTTTCAGCAAGACAGCTCCATAAACATACATACCACTTCTACATCCAGAGGGAAAAAAAAAAAACAGTGCTTATGAGATTAAACTATAATGACAAAAGCCTGTGTCTTAAAGAACAGGGTCAGATCCTGCCCCTTCACCCTCTAAGTTGTTGTTTTTCTTAACCTGGCCCCAGCTCCACTAGCATTAGGATTGCTCGGGGTGTTTTAAACATGCAGAGTCTGAGGCACCTGGTGACTCAGGTGGTTAAGTGTCCGACTTCGGCTGATCTCACGGCTCGTGAGTTTGAGCCCACGTAGGGCTCTGTGCTGACGGCTCAGAGACTGGAGCCTGCTTCAGATTCTGTATCTTCTGTGTCTCTCCCTCTCTCTCTGCCCCTCCCCCATTCATGCTCTGTCTCTTTCTCTCTCTAGGCTCTAAAAAATAAATAAACATTAAGTTAAAGAAAAAAAATTAAAAATACAGGTTCTGGGCCTCCCTTCCAGCCTGCTACCTGAGAGTTTCCAAGATGGGCACCAAGAAACGCAGAATTTTTAACCAGCGCCCCCAGGGGATTCTTAGCACACTAAAAAGTGAGGGCCATTTTTCAAACTTTTAACTGCATCCTCCTGCTGCATGGCCTCCCTCTGATATTTAAGGTCTGGATGTTTATCCTGAAGGCGAGGTGGCTCCTCCGCCCCTGGGACCCCAGCAGAGGGCTCGCGCAGATATGCCACAAGCCACAGAGGCTGAGCCAGCCAGGGAGGCCTGGAGCCCGGCCCAGGGGACAGAGACCTGCAGGTGACAAGGACATTCCCGCAGCAGTGGCCTCCCTGCCTGCACCCTCCTAGCCTTACTGCCCTCTCCTCTCTATGGAGCCCTTGGCCGTGAACCCCACACTGGCTCCCCACCACTCCTCACTTTTCTGTCTCCTTACTCCTCTTAAAAACAACAAAACAGGGAGAGGGATTCCTTCAACTCCAGGGGAAAACAGGGAAACGAAACAACTAATTTTGAGCAAGATGGTCTATCACCTGGGTGCTTCCTTACTCTCTGGGCTGTATGGCGTCGTCAAGGTGCATCGCGCAGCCCTGGGCCGCGTGCTAGGGTGAGGTCCAGAGCTGGCACACCCAGTGCAAACCTTAATTCTGCAGCCACAAGGTTATGCCTTCTCTCTGGGCCTCACTTTCTCACCAAACAGGTATAACAGGACCTACTCCTTTGAGGATTTTGAGAATGAAAGGTAATAAATACACATGATGCGGATGGCAGGTCTGGCATGAGGCTGAGGTCCAGGAAGCAGAATGGATGCCATTTAAAGGAGGGACAGACCGTCCCTGTGGGCTGCCATGCCACCTGCCCCAGGGTTCCAAGAGGAAAGCCCCCTTCCTGCCCTGCTTTCCCTCAAACCCACTGACTGGCCTGACCAGTGCGCTCGCAAGGAGGGGGTGCAGCTTGATAGAGGTGGCTGGTCCCACCTTTCCTCCCTCTGCCCCACTTTCAGGGGCGTCCCCACTCCCCCTCGCTCACACAGACCGCTCACGCTTCTCAACACATCAGAAGTTTCTTGACAGTAAGAAATGGCTGGGGGTTGGCTGCCTGGAAATGGGGAAAACCTTCTAGTATCGAAAGCCTCAGCACAGGGCAGAGGCCTGGGTCCTTCCTAGAAACCCCACTGCCACTTCAACCCAGGTCTTTGCTCCTTTTCCTTTTGGTAGCTTTCCCTGCCTCGTGTCTGACCTGAGCTTCCTTCTGGTCCTGGAGAAGCAGTTAATTTCATTCTCCTTGGGCTCCAGGCTCTGTGAAGCAGGACAGCAAGGGGTGAGAAGACACTAGTTCAAATTCTCTCCCATTACCCAACTTCCACTGAGCCTGGGATTCCTCTTCTGTAAAATAAGGGTCAATCACACCCCACAGAGTTGTTTGGAGATTTCAGGATATGTAGAGCCCCTTGGCGCTCAATAAACACTTCAACACTGTTTTTCTTGTCCTCTGGCTTCAAAGTAAAAGCCCTCCCACAGCGGCATGGTGTGCAGGCGCATGTTTAACAATGGACTCCCTGGGGTTGGGGGCAGGGAAAAAGCCCATTCCTGAGCTGTCCTATTCCTCTCATGGTCATATCAAGCCACCCAAGTGATGATGGTGACCCTGTGGTTGGGAAGCATAAACAGCTCTGTGACCTGGGCGAGCCAGCTACCTGGCCCACCGACACATTCTGGTATTTTCCAAGGATGGCGCCACAGCATGTCATGCCACGTGCTCTTCTGCGCTGTGATTGTGGCTCTGTGGCTCCACTCCCTTGATTCTTTGACCAATAAGACATAGCAGAGTGACTCTGTGCCAGCTTCAATGTGGTCCTTCATAGACCTACGGCTACCACATCCCAAAGTCCTCATGTAAGAAGTGTGATGGTCCCGAAACCACCATGCGGTATGAAGAAGCCCTGTAAGATGAGACGCCCCATGAAGAGAGAAAGAAGCCAAGGGGCATTAAGCAAGAAAGAAATCTTGGGAGTGGATCCTTCTGTCCAGCAGAGGCCATGGAGGTCAGACTCTGAGCCCTTCTAGAATTCCTGACCCACAAAATCATGCACAAAATAAAACGGTCATTTTGATCCACTATGGAGGGCACCATGAATACCACCTATGCTCCCCATGGAGGAAGGACGCACTATCCAACGACTAGAAGGATACCAGAGCTCCCTTCTGCTACAAGCTGCCGTTCAAGGTCACATCCAATGGCTGCTGAGCATAGGAACATAAAGCTGGGCTGAACAAATGTCTATAAAGAGCTAGATATAAATATTTCAGGCTTTGGGGGCCATATAGCTCTGCCACAACCATTGAACTCTGCCCAAGTAAGGTGAGAGCCTCCTTAGATAATTTGTAAATGAAGGGGTGTGGTGTGTTCCAATAAAACTTTATTTACAAAACCAGGTGACCACCTGGTTTTGGCTCATAGGCTGTAGTTTGCCTACCCTGACATAAAGGCCAGGGCAACTCAGTCCAACCTGGAGCAATTCTAAAATTCCTTCAGAATTTTCTGTTGGGCCCTCTTGCAAGAGGTCCGTGCAAGGCAGCACGACCTCTTCTGTCCACTACTGTTCCTTCCCCTCTGTTCCAAGTCTTGATCCCAAGGGCAGTTCTTAATAATCATCCTCCACACGTCTGCTTCCCTGGGAACCTACCCTGCACCCCACTAAATTTGGGGGTAGTTTGTTACAGACCAGTAGATGACAGAAAACTATCTTGAACTGGGTCTGTTCACTTGGTTCAGCCAACAGAAACCAGGTTTGTCTTTCTCTGGGCCCGGTCACCTTCTACCCTATTCAGTCTTCCTTTCTCAAGCAACTTAACTCCAACAGTGCCTCCTGATCACAGAGATGAGAACCAGAACAACGCTGGAGCCCCCAGAGTGAAGGACAGTGAGGGACCAGCCTGCAACGTGGGGTGCCTGGTCAAGACTGAGAGGAAGGAGACCTGAATCATCTCTGGTTTCTCCATCATCCTTCTCCAGGCCCTGTTCAAATCTCATGGCATTCATGATGAGCTCCATGCTGTGGTTCGTCCAGGGAATTATTCAGCTGGATTTCAGGAGTGTTGGGAGAGCCCCCACCTCACTGGGCCTGGACCCATCACTGGTTTCCTACTGCCC